CTTAGTTTGGAAACATTAACAAAAATGTTTTTTAAAAAAGTATCTTATGCTCACCACAGCTGCATTTATTTCTTTTTCTAAAAATACAGTACAAACAGTAATATTGTGTAATATTATTACAAATTAACATAATTTCTGTTTGAATATACAGTTGTCAACATTTGAAGTGGATCCAAAAAGTTAATCAAAGTTGTCCTAAGACAAGAATGGGCATTGTTCAAAATTCATGTCTAACTTTGATGAAAGATTTTGATCCACTTCAAATGTTCAAAAAACGTGTGCTGCTTAAAGTCCCCCTGTAGTGAAAACCCAGCTTTTAATTTTGTTAATTTTTCTATGCAGTGTTTTTAATATGCTTTAAGACAAACCATGTGCCAATGTCAACACCATTGCTGAATATTATCTCCTTAAAACTGCGGTGAGTTTCAAAGGTTTGAAATCGCTGGTGTTTCTGACGTCACAAACTACCTTGTAACCAACCAAGTCAACGTGTGATCGCCAATGAGTTGATCTCTCAGCTGGTGTGAAAAAAACGTTTAAATATGTCATTTTGGTGATCAAAGTTTTAAGGAATACAATTATTGAGTACAGGGGGACTTAAACATTTTTGTGGAAATGGTGACACTTTTTTTCAAGATTCTTTGAATAGGAAGTTCAATGAACTGGATTTATTAAATGTATGCATTTTTACATAACAAAACATTATAAATGTAACATTACATGTCTTTGTCACTTTTGATCAATTTAATGCATCCTTCATAAATAAAAAAAACGTAATTTTATTTAAAAATAAATTTCTCTTTTTTTATCTTAGCACTAATATTTGAATGGTATCATAGTTTCCATAAAAATTAAGCAGTAAAAACGTGTTCAACGTAGATAATTATAATAAATGTTTCTTTGGCACCAAATCAGCATATCAGAATGATTTCTGAAGGATCATGTGACACTGAAGACTGGAGTAATGATGCTGAAAATACAGCTTTGGAATAAATTACATTTCAAAATATGTTAAAATAAAAAAAAAGTTCTGTTAAATTGCAATAATATGTCACAAAACTACTATTTTTACTGCATTTTTAATTAAACAAGTACAGCCTTGGTGAGCATACTTCCTTCCAAACAATTATAAATCAACCTGGTGCTACGTAAATATATATTATTCTATAAAATGGGTGACTGACACATTTTATTTTTACCCTAATTAGAAGGTTATTTAATCGCAGTGGTAAATGACCACTCTCTCTCTCTCTCTCTCTCCCCTCTTTTTCTCTCTGCCAGATGATGACTGAGATAGCAAAGGCGCAGGCTGATTCGGTGGTGTCCAGTGTGGAGTCCATGCTAGCGGACGCCGGCCGAATACAAACATGGTGCCGGGAGCGCAACGAGGAACTGTCCGCGTCTGCGCTGGAACTGCACGAGGAGACCCAGAGCCTGCGGGAACAGTGTCAGGCCTCACAGCTGGACATGGCCCGTCTCAGACGCACACTAGACCAGCTACTGGACACGAAACACGCATACGAGGCCCGGGAGAGACAGGCCCGGAAACTCAGCAAGCAGCTGTAGAGACGTGAACCCAGACAGAAACGTGGCATCACCTCATGGCCGACACTCTGTTGCTATCTGGGAAGTCAAGCTAAAAGTAGGCCTAAATATCTCTGTAAAAAGTTGTTTAAATAATTTTCAAGTATATTAATTAAATTTTATTTAAAAGCAGAGACGCAGTCGTCTAGTAATTGCACACACCGTGATGTAGTTCATTTACAGCCTGTAATACTTTTTTTTAGGTTTAAGATTCAAAGTTGTGTTTATCTGTGATAATTCTCTTGATGGACAAAACATCCAAGTATCATAAACTTTTGTTGAACACAGAGCTTGTTTTTAGTGATAATTCAAAAGCCTATGGGAAAATCCTATTGGGTTTTTCTGGAGGGAACCAGTGTGATGATGCTAACTTGCGTTTGCGTAAATGTTGTCATTCCCGCACCACTCTATTATGTGCCTTAAAGGAGTAGTTCACTTTAAAAAAAAAACTTTTGCTGATAATTTACTCACCCCCATGTCATCCAAGATGTCCATGTCTTTCTTTCTTCAGTCGTAAAGAAATTAAGGTTTTTGATGAAAACATTCCAGGATTTTCTCCATATAATGGACTTCAATGGGACCCAAACGGTTCAAGGTCCAAAATACAGTTTCAGTGCAAACTGCAAACTGTTCAAAGGGCTTTAAACGATTCCAGACGATGAATAAGGGTCTTATCAAGCGAAACAATCGCTCATTTAATAAATAAATAACAAAGTTTAAGTTTTATAAGCTCAAATGGTCGCCTTGCTCGGTTCTGTGATGTGCGTTCGTGACTCTCTTGTTCGAACTCGTTCATCAAAATGAACATCAAAAAAACCTGGTATCACGACAAGACGTGAAATAATCACGTTGGTCCACTTTGGAAAACGTGTAGATGTCACGGTTTAACCCCCTCAAACGTGAAACTTACACGTTTGACCCAGAGCCTTGTTTTTCAACGGCTCTGGTTTGACCTATTTTACACGCAATCGCCTCTGCCATAACGACCTATTGGTTTTCATTAAACCGAGAAAAAATTTAATTTTGTTTTATTGACGATCACTGAGAAATGTTCTATTAATTAAAATGCAAAAAAGTAGTATTTTCAAGGTGAAAAGGATTCATTTGCCTTGATCCACGCCGAAAAAAACGTCAAAATGTCACGTTTTAATGAAGTAGCCAAATGAGTAAAATGTCTATTTTTCCGGCGTCCCCCAGCTCCTCGTTTAAGCAAAAGGTTCGCTAAAACAACGCATTACATTGACGTTAAACCACGTTAACTGTGTTAACCATAACCTTTTAAATACTCGACCTACCGTTGCTTAGTAACGGAAAGAAACTCCTGTAACAGTGCCGTTAGCACCTTACAGATTATGAGACATTATAGTGTGTTCGCTGCATTTGTAATGTTATACTTTTAAAATAGGTTAACATCCGGGTATCTCTCCACTGGAACGTGTTAACGCAAACGTGTAAGTTTCACGTTTGAAGGGGTTAAACCGTGACATCTACACGTTTTCCAAAGTGGACCAACGTGATTATTTCACGTCTTGTCGTGATACCGGGTTGGGATATATTATCGCCAGTCCTTTAGGCGAATATAGAGTTTAATCAAACACAAAAAGCAAAATTATACATCCATCAAGTTAATATTCAAACTTACCGAAAGTTTGTGGGGGCCGATGATGACGCTGTGTTTTAAGAATAGACTAGAATGAAGTGAAGAGTAAAGGCGATTTATTGGTTGATGTATTCTAATAAGGCGCAGGCAGCCATCATCTATAGGCCTACTTGCAGCAGCAAGTCGATCGTTCACAAGTTAAATATAGAATAAATGTATTTGTCATATCAAATTAAAACCTGACGTTTCAATTTTGCCCTGCTGCCCACGGGGGTTTGATTGACAGGTGGCCTGGCCAATCATAACGCCGTATAAGCAACTTTGTCCGACAACAAAGCTGTCAGTAACGTCGGTGGATATGAATTTGAAAACGGTATTGTTTAAATTACTTAAATGACGATATTTGAAAGTTGAGACTTTGTTTCATATCATCAGTAAGCTGCTCTGAACTCTCTCTCGTAATCACTCGGTGTAACGTTAGTCTTTGACCCGCGTGAGACCCGCCTGGTGGGTGACTCGTGAGACCCGCCTGGCTCGTGGCTCGTCACATACTAGCATGGAATATAACAAGGGAAAATGCCACTAAATAACAGGGCTAATTTGTGGGAGACGTTGCGTGGTAAGGCTTTGGTAATCAGATGGCTTGCAGTATCTGCTCCACAGCCAATCACGGGCCCCCTCCTTGCTTGGGCCCCGGGACTGTAGCCCCGCCTAGCCCTATGGTTAATGCGGCCGTGCATGGGGGTAAATTATCAGCAAGTTTTTTTTTTTTTTAAAGTGAATTACTCCTTTAAACTGGGAATTTATTTTCTCGTTTAACGTTTTTCCACCCAGATGGCAGATGAATAAAATCCCTGACCGCAAAAATCCCATACATTTGAATATTAAAAATACCACCTTTGACATTTAGACATATTGTGTGACACTGTAAGCTCTTGGTTGACTAAATTAATTGCTTTGAAGTGTTTGCATAGTCAAAGACTCAAGCATAGAGAGGGTTATACAACGGATTTAATATTCATAAAAAATATCAGTGCATAATCTGTTACCAGCGGTTGTAAAAACAAGTGTAGAAAGTTAAATAAAGTAGTTGCACAGAAAGAGGAGGACAAATGATTATACGATGAGACCCACGCATTTAGTGGCTGACGCAAACATGGACCGAGATAGGCGGAAGGACACTGTGTTTCCGAGGACTTTCAGCACCTCAGATTTGGCACTTCGCCTGTGGAAAGCGGATACCATCACTGGCCAAATTATGGATTTATGTCCCTGTCAACCCAAACACACACACACACTCTTACCTCCCGTGGCTGTGTGCAAGAAAAAGCCATTAAAAATGACATCTCTACTGGGCACAAGATTAATAGGCAAACACTCTCGGAAAGACACTCTCAAGCAGTTTTGCTCATGTTAAGGACACCAAGGACAGGGGGGAGATACTTATGGGAGATTCCTGGCCTAAAAAACGCACATGAGCAGCGTCTAATGGGATTTATGGAGTAATTCATATAAACAGACAGCAGAGGGCGAAAATGTTGTATATTGAGACAGTGCAGGCTTTATTTTAAGGGATAGTTCACCCAAAAATGAATACTCTGTCATCATTTACTTTATGAGTTTTTGTTTTCCTCTGTTGAACACAAAAGATGATATTTTGAAGAATGTTGATAACCAGACAGCTGACTTCCATAGTAGGGAAAAAAAGTCAATGTGTGCCGAACATTCTTCAAAATATCTTCTTTTGTATTCAACAGATGAAAGAAACTCATACTGGGTTGGAACAACGATGACGACATTTTAATTTTTAGGTGAACTATCCCTTTAATAGTGAAAAGTTACAGTAGAGTGCATTAACCTTAACCTGGTTTGATTCCAGGTCAACTAGGTTCAATTTATTGGATGTTATTCCACAAAAGCCTTGAAACTGTTATATGTGCTAATGAAATGTTTTGGCCAGAGAGTAGCAAACACTAGAGTCACCATGTAGAATCATAAGATTTGTATCCTCATGTTTAGTTGGTGAAAACTCTGGCAGTGTTGTCAGATTTGATCTCTTTACATAAAGCTGTGTCTCAATCAGTTCAGGTCACTCCACCAATCTGGCAACCGCACACGATCACCTGCCAGGTCTGTGCTGCCAGCCACAGATCAGTAACCATGGCAACTAACCCTTGGCAATGCTAGTGAACAAAATCAAGACCGTATACTGGAACTGCCAAAATCCTTTTGGCTCAGCTAGCCAGCAGTGCGTTTGTGAATGTGAGCGTATGTGTGTATGCGTGTGTAAGAGAGTTCAAGGGACACAGACTGCTTTAGTGTGGGGCGACACTAAGGACGTCCTGGGCGGTTGAAGAAGGGCTCAGTTTCAGAAGCGGTCGCTGATGGTTCCCCTCCTCCTGACAGGGTTTCTGACCCTTTGTTGCGCTGGAGCAGGACCAGACCTGCTATGATCATCCAAAAGAAGAAATTCACCCATACTGCGATCTAAGAGGGAGAAAAGAAAACTTTCTTAAAGATGATGTTGAACATTTTTAGGGCATTAGTGCAATTAAGACAGCCAATTTGGTTTTGTTCCATTAAAAGCGTGTGTGTATGTGTAATATATATATATATATATATAAGAAAGGTTTTAGACAACATTTTTGTCTATATATATATATATAAATAAATGTGTATATAAACAGTAATATTGTGAAATATTATTACAATTTAAAATTGTAACAGCGGTTTTCTATGTGAATATATAGTGAAGTGTAATTTATTCCTGTGATCAAAGCTGAATTTACAGCATCATTACTCCAGTCTTCAGTGTGTCATGATCCTACAGAAATTGTTATAATATGATGCTCAAGAAACATTTATGATTATTATCCATGTTGAAAACAGTTTTTTACATTTTTTTTTTTCAGGATTCTTTGATGAATAGAAAGTTCAAAAGAACAGAATTGATCTGAAATGGAAAACTTTTGTAACATTAATCACTACCATAATCAAAAGTTTGGGGTCAGTAAGAATTAATTTTTTATTTTTGGGGGAAAGAAATTAGAAAATACTTTTATTCATCAAGGATGAGTTAAATTGATCAAAAGTTACAGTAAAGACATTTATAATGTTAGAAAAGATTATATTTTAAATAAATGCTGTTCTTTTGCATATGCGGATAGCTCTGGCATAATGTGTTAGTGATCAGTAACTACCTCTGCACTGTGCAGTCTGGAGTAGAACTGGCTCCCGTTGATCGGGCTCAACCAAGACTTATCTTGCGCGTCTTCACACCTGAAAATGCACAAAATAGAGTATTTATACAACCACTAGTGATTGATACGGTTGTTATGAGGGTCAATAATGTCTGTCTGCATTCATCAAAAGCTATTACACATACTCACTTCGTTATATTGGTGGTCAGTGTATTAAGCAAAGAGTCACACAGTTTGTCTCGGCCGATTTTCAGGATGCATCCCGTCACCAAGAGGAAGAAGAGGAAGACTCCAGACAAGCCAAGAGTAATGTTCATCCATAATTTCTCTCTGATACAAGACAGAGACAACATTGCACAATGTCTGAATGACATTTAAAAAAAATAATATTGCTATCCTAGTAGCTTCAAAATGAACAGTCTTAAGGAAAAAAAACTTGTTTCATGCAATAATAAATCACAGCCTGTTATTAATCGTTATTAATATATACACAACCAAAACTAGTGGTTGGCCGATATTGATTTTTTTTATGCCAATATCTTAGAGAACAGGCTTATACTATACTTCTGAACTTCTTGATTCTGTAATCCTATAACAGTATTTTTCACAAGTAAAGAATTTGTTTCAATTTTTTGTCATGTTTACAAGTAACGTAAAGAGTTTAAACTGTTATCCCCGCGTTCTCAGCGCTGTCAAAATAAAAGTCCGTCGAGCCGTCAAAATAAAAGTCTTTAAAATAAAAGTGCTTCAGACACATTGGCCAAATAAAAAAAGCTTATCAGCTAGTGAGAGATTTTACATATATATATATAAATGTGAAAAAAACTAAATATATTTTCTTCATGCGTCAAAAAAAAAAAAAAAAATCCGGCAGAAATGAAGGCCTAGTACTAGAGCATAAATGCAATGCATCATAAAAAAATTATATTTCATATGCAAGCTAATGGTGTAGTTGAGGAATTGTGTGGTATATGGATACAAAAGTATTTTATATCTCCAAAACACAGCATTAATGAATAGATGAGAAGTAAACAAAAAAAAAAAAGATATATTATTTGTATGATTAAAAATTTATATTTTTTGTACAATTACTCAATCAATTGTTGGGGTCATATAGACCCCGAAGCCCAGAAGTGTAAACAGGAAATGAAGACCATTTGAAGGTTAAATAGAAAGTTCAAATGGAAAGGAGTTGTTTGAAATACAAATGTTTAGTAATAATTTTAAAGTCCTGTCACTTTTTAATGAATACTTTAATAAAAGTGCACTGTACATTTCTTTCAACAACAACAAAAACTAACCACAATGTCTCATAATCTAATATCTAGTTTGCAATATCTCCTGCAATCCATCCATACTGGAGCACGACAACAAGAAGAAAACCTGATCACATATATGAAATAAAATCACAAGCACATGATTTACGGAGCTCTTTGTCATACCTTTTCACCTCTCCCTCAAAACAGGCGATGTAGACCCAGTAGAGAGTGACTGAAAAGCAGAAGACAGCCACACACACTGAGATGGCTGACACGAAGTAACAGAGAGAGGGAGAACTGGATGTAAGCACACTGATGGATGTGTTGTTCAGACGCACAGAACCGTACAACATACACTTCCCAGCAAAACTTCCCTGTTTGAGTGAAAACATAAGGAAAGAATGTTATGGCTTACAATGTTATGACCACAAAAGGCACTTTCTACAAATTATGTACAACAGAGGGCCTATTGAAAAACTTGGGCACAAAGGGGTGAAGTACAAATGGAATGTAATGCAATTCAAACTATACACTTTTCGTGTTTAATGTCTGTGCCAGTGAACTCCACAACAACATACAAGAGCATCACTCATGGCTTCTTCATTTTTCCCTTTTACTAATACTCTTTTCCTGCTACATCCACTGTTAACAGGATGAAACACTCAATACTTACATTCTTACACTTTCCTTTTCTGCTCATCTGACTTTAATAAACCAATTTCTCTTTAACCCATTCAGACCCTGTGTCCATTACAATGGAAATCACATGTCAGCCCCCTTTTTTTAACTTCTGGAGCATTTCACAATTGACAAAAATGGAGCAAAAAATGCAAAAATGGAGGCTCTAGACCCTTCCAGAGCTGAGATATTGAGATCCCACGTACTGCAGCATTTATGCCATTATAAATATCTCAATATCTCAGCTCTGGAAGGGTCTAGAGCCTCCATTTTTGCACTCAGGTCTAAGTCTCTTGGCCCTCTATCAGAATCCAGAGTTTTGAGAAGATTGGAGAAACTTAATTTTTCGCCCGAAAAAAAAAAAACGAAAGGGTGTCGTTTTTTTTTTCGGGCCGATTTTTTGAGTTTCGATATCTCAGCTCTGGAAGGGGCTAGAGCCTCCATTTTTGCACTCAGGTCTAAGTCTCATGGCCCTCTATCAGAATCCAGAGTTTTGAGAAGATTGGAGAAACTTAATTTTTCGCCCGAAAAAAAAAAAACGTAAGGGGTACCACTGTCGTTTTTTTTTCGGGCCGAATTTTTGAGTTTCGATATCTCAGCTCTGGAAGGGTCTAGAGCCTCCATTTTTGCACTCAGGTTTAAGTCTCATGGCCCTCTATCAGAATCCAGAGTTTTGAGAAGATTGGAGAAACTTAATTTTTCGCCCAAAAAAAAAAACGTAAGGGGTACCACTGTCGTTTTTTTTTCGGGCCGAATTTTTGAGTTTCGATATCTCAGCTCTGGAAGGGTCTAGAGCCTCCATTTTTGCACTCAGGTCTAAGTCTCATGGCCCTCTATCAGAATCCAGAGTTTTGAGAAGATTGGAGAAACTTAATTTTTCGCCCAAAAAAAAAACGTAAGGGGTACCACTGTCGTTTTTTTTTCGGGCCGAATTTTTGAGTTTCGATATCTCAGCTCTGGAAGGGTCTAGAGCCTCCATTTTTGCACTCAGGTCTAAGTCTCATGGCCCTCTATCAGAATCCAGAGTTTTGAGAAGATTGGAGAAACTTAATTTTTCGCCCAAAAAAAAAAACGTAAGGGGTACCACTGTCGTTTTTTTTTTCGGGCCGAATTTTTGAGTTTCGATATCTCAGCTCTGGAAGGGTCTAGAGCCTCCATTTTTGCACTCAGGTCTAAGTCTCATGGCCCTCTATCAGAATCCAGAGTTTTGAGAAGATTGGAGAAACTTAATTTTTCGCCAAAAAAAAAAAACGTAAGGGGTACCACTGTCGTTTTTTTTTTCGGGCCGAATTTTTGAGTTTCGATATCTCAGCTCTGGAAGGGTCTAGAGCCTCCATTTTTGCACTCAGGTCTAAGTCTCATGGCCCTCTATCAGAATCCAGAGTTTTGAGAAGATTGGAGAAACTTAATTTTTCGCCCAAAAAAAAAACGTAAGGGGTACCACTGTCGTTTTTTTTTCGGGCCGAATTTTTGAGTTTCGATATCTCAGCTCTGGAAGGGTCTAGAGCCTCCATTTTTGCACTCAGGTCTAAGTCTCATGGCCCTCTATCAGAATCCAGAGTTTTGAGAAGATTGGAGAAACTTAATTTTTCGCCCAAAAAAAAAAACGTAAGGGGTACCACTGTCGTTTTTTTTTCGGGCCGAATTTTTGAGTTTCGATATCTCAGCTCTGGAAGGGTCTAGAGCCTCCATTTTTGCACTCAGGTCTAAGTCTCATGGCCCTCTATCAGAATCCAGAGTTTTGAGAAGATTGGAGAAACTTAATTTTTCGCCCAAAAAAAAAAACGTAAGGGGTACCACTGTCGTTTTTTTTTCGGGCCGAATTTTTGAGTTTCGATATCTCAGCTCTGGAAGGGTCTAGAGCCTCCATTTTTGCACTCAGGTCTAAGTCTCATGGCCCTCTATCAGAATCCAGAGTTTTGAGAAGATTGGAGAAACTTAATTTTTCGCCCAAAAAAAAAAAACGTAAGGGGTACCACTGTCGTTTTTTTTTTCGGGCCGAATTTTTGAGTTTCGATATCTCAGCTCTGGAAGGGTCTAGAGCCTCCATTTTTGCACTCAGGTCTAAGTCTCATGGCCCTCTATCAGAATCCAGAGTTTTGAGAAGATTGGAGAAACTTAATTTTTCGCCCAAAAAAAAAAACGTAAGGGGTACCACTGTCGTTTTTTTTTCGGGCCGAATTTTTGAGTTTCGATATCTCAGCTCTGGAAGGGTCTAGAGCCTCCATTTTTGCACTCAGGTCTAAGTCTCATGGCCCTCTATCAGAATCCAGAGTTTTGAGAAGATTGGAGAAACTTAATTTTTCGCCCAAAAAAAAAAAACGTAAGGGGTACCACTGTCGTTTTTTTTTCGGGCCGAATTTTTGAGTTTCGATATCTCAGCTCTGGAAGGGTCTAGAGCCTCCATTTTTGCACTCAGGTCTAAGTCTCATGGCCCTCTATCAGAATCCAGAGTTTTGAGAAGATTGGAGAAACTTAATTTTTCGCCCAAAAAAAAAAACGTAAGGGGTACCACTGTCGTTTTTTTTTTCGGGCCGAATTTTTGAGTTTCGATATCTCAGCTCTGGAAGGGTCTAGAGCCTCCATTTTTGCACTCAGGTCTAAGTCTCATGGCCCTCTATCAGAATCCAGAGTTTTGAGAAGATTGGAGAAACTTAATTTTTCGCCCAAAAAAAAAAACGTAAGGGGTACCACTGTCGTTTTTTTTTCGGGCCGAATTTTTGAGTTTCGATATCTCAGCTCTGGAAGGGTCTAGAGCCTCCATTTTTGCACTCAGGTCTAAGTCTCATGGCCCTCTATCAGAATCCAGAGTTTTGAGAAGATTGGAGAAACTTAATTTTTCGCCCAAAAAAAAAAACGTAAGGGGTACCACTGTCGTTTTTTTTTCGGGCCGAATTTTTGAGTTTCGATATCTCAGCTCTGGAAGGGTCTAGAGCCTCCATTTTTGCACTCAGGTCTAAGTCTCATGGCCCTCTATCAGAATCCAGAGTTTTGAGAAGATTGGAGAAACTTAATTTTTCGCCCAAAAAAAAAAACGTAAGGGGTACCACTGTCGTTTTTTTTTCGGGTCGAATTTTTGAGTTTCGATATCTCAGCTCTGGAAGGGTCTAGAGCCTCCATTTTTGCACTCAGGTCTAAGTCTCATGGCCCTCTATCAGAATCCAGAGTTTTGAGAAGATTGGAGAAACTTAATTTTTCGCCCAAAAAAAAAAAACGTAAGGGGTACCACTGTCGTTTTTTTTTTCGGGTCGAATTTTTGAGTTTCGATATCTCAGCTCTGGAAGGGTCTAGAGCCTCCATTTTTGCACTCAGGTCTAAGTCTCATGGCCCTCTATCAGAATCCAGAGTTTTGAGAAGATTGGAGAAACTTAATTTTTCGCCCAAAAAAAAAAACGTAAGGGGTACCACTGTCGTTTTTTTTTCGGGTCGAATTTTTGAGTTTCGATATCTCAGCTCTGGAAGGGTCTAGAGCCTCCATTTTTGCACTCAGGTCTAAGTCTCATGGCCCTCTATCAGAATCCAGAGTTTTGAGAAGATTGGAGAAACTTAATTTTTCGCCCAAAAAAAAAAACGTAAGGGGTACCACTGTCGTTTTTTTTTTCGGGCCGAATTTTTGAGTTTCGATATCTCAGCTCTGGAAGGGTCTAGAGCCTCCATTTTTGCACTCAGGTCTAAGTCTCATGGCCCTCTATCAGAATCCAGAGTTTTGAGAAGATTGGAGAAACTTAATTTTTCGCCCAAAAAAAAAAACGTAAGGGGTACCACTGTCGTTTTTTTTTCGGGCCGAATTTTTGAGTTTCGATATCTCAGCTCTGGAAGGGTCTAGAGCCTCCATTTTTGCACTCAGGTCTAAGTCTCATGGCCCTCTATCAGAATCCAGAGTTTTGAGAAGATTGGAGAAACTTAATTTTTCGCCCAAAAAAAAAAAACGTAAGGGGTACCACTGTCGTTTTTTTTTTCGGGTCGAATTTTTGAGTTTCGATATCTCAGCTCTGGAAGGGTCTAGAGCCTCCATTTTTGCACTCAGGTCTAAGTCTCATGGCCCTCTATCAGAATCCAGAGTTTTGAGAAGATTGGAGAAACTTAATTTTTCGCCCAAAAAAAAAAAACGTAAGGGGTACCACTGTCGTTTTTTTTTCGGGTCGAATTTTTGAGTTTCGATATCTCAGCTCTGGAAGGGTCTAGAGCCTCCATTTTTGCACTCAGGTCTAAGTCTCATGGCCCTCTATCAGAATCCAGAGTTTTGAGAAGATTGGAGAAACTTAATTTTTCGCCCAAAAAAAAAAAACGTAAGGGGTACCACTGTCGTTTTTTTTTCGGGTCGAATTTTTGAGTTTCGATATCTCAGCTCTGGAAGGGTCTAGAGCCTCCATTTTTGCACTCAGGTCTAAGTCTCATGGCCCTCTATCAGAATCCAGAGTTTTGAGAAGATTGGAGAAACTTAATTTTTCGCCAAAAAAAAAAAACGTAAGGGGTACCACTGTCGTTTTTTTTTCGGGTCGAAATTTTGAGTTTCGATATCTCAGCTCTGGAAGGGTCTAGAGCCTCCATTTTTGCACTCAGGTCTAAGTCTCATGGCCCTCTATCAGAATCCAGAGTTTTGAGAAGATTGGAGAAACTTAATTTTTCGCCCAAAAAAAAAAACGTAAGGGGTACCACTGTCGTTTTTTTTTCGGGTCGAAATTTTGAGTTTCGA